AAAAAAAAAAATTAAAACAAAAGAAAAAGGAAACAACAACCAAGTAAACTTAAGTTCAGGAAGCCTGGCAGAAAAAGGGGGTAAATGGCTTATAGCTTTCCCACCATCATCTCCTGTTCCTACCCTGCTTCTCTCCTGTCTCCCTGTCCAAATAAAGGAAGAATGATGCTACTCTCTTCCTTCCCTTCTCAGACATGGGAGGACTGTCACACCATTTTTCGTTCAGGCGGGAGGCTTAGGGTACGGGACCACAGTTAAGATTTGAGGCGCCACCCAAATCCTAACCAACAGCAAATGAACTTCAAGACCTATTTTGCCCATTTACCCTTTTTTGGTTCTTGTTAACCCAGATCGCTGTCGGTTTCCTTGTGACCCCTGTTTGCAGGCTAAATCTCTTATCACTGAGGCATCAGATCCTTTGCCACTTCAGTCTGCCAACCTACTTATTTGCTCTAAGCTTGCCCAACAAAGGGCGGCTCCCCCAGTTCTCCTTTCTATGGGAACCCGCCCTGGAAGTCCGCTCCCTTCTCTTTCACGTGCCTGGGCCAACGGGGTGGAGTGAGACTCTGAGAGCGATGTACGAAGGCAGGAAAAACACGGGCTTTGGGGTAAACCAGACCTGGCACAAAACCCTGCCTCGGCCTTTATTAGGCACATGACCTTGCGAGAATTTAATCTCTGCACCTTTCTTCATTGCCCCGAACGTCCGGTTTTGCTTCTCCAAAATGAGAATAAAACCTGTTCACAGGGCTGTGAGTAGGAATAAGCAAGATGAAAAAGGCGGGGGGGGGGGGGGGGGGGGGGGGTCTGATTCAGAGGGAAGACAACCTAGGATGTGGCTGTGTAATTAGGTGGCAAAAGAGACGGGCTTAACCTGGCGAGGGGCAGGGGGAGACACAGCCCACAATGCCAGTTTCCACTCCACCCTGCTTTCAATAGGGCGGCCTGTGTGCTGGGCACAGCAGGCACAATGCCTAGGGTCTACAGTATTTTAGGAGCCCATCAAAGTGTTTTCTGAGGATTTTAATTGTAGCGATTTTAATTTCTTTTAAAATCAGAAGAAAAAAATGGAATGTTAGGTCAAGGAAACTGTCGTATTGTTATATCAATCAATTATTAATTATAAATATAAAATAATGGTTTCATTATATCAATATTATGTTCTTCTTTATACCAACACGGTTGTAAAACAATTTTTCAATTGGCAATAGTCACACCTTCAATATCATAGCGTTGGCTGTGATACAGCCACTATGCAAGCTTAAAAACTACAATTTTATGTAAATGGAAATATATTTTTTAATGGAGGAATGGGCTCACAAAGGCAAAAGTACCAAGGGCCTCTGAAAGCCATAACGTGTCCTCACTTTCAGCACTCCCAAAGGATCTCCTTTAGGACATCTTTATAGATTAGGGAAAAGGGATGTGAGGCGGCATAGGTGGGGAGGCGGGGAAGCCACAAGCAAGACTCTCAATTATCCCATCCTTCAAAGTACAAGCCCTCCCCCTGTCTGTGATTTCCCTGTCCTTGTCAAGGAACTTTTGTTTGCTTGAACCCCATGAATGGGGGGCTGTATGATACATCCCAGAATACCTCTTCATTCATGTCGCTCGTTGGGTCAAGAATACAAATATAAAACTCAACGACAACCACAAAACCAGCCAATTAAAAAACGGCCAAGGACTTGAATCGACATATCTGCAAAGGAGATATGCAAAAAAAAAAAAAAAAAAAAAAAAAAAAAAGAAGGAAAGAAAAGAAGAGTGCCGTTAAGGATGCAGAGAAATTGGAACCTTTGTGCGTCGATGGCAAACAGTATGGCCGCTCCTCAAAAAATTAAACAGAATCACCACATGATCTAGCAATTTCACTACTGGGAATGTACCCAAAAGAACTGAAAGCAGGTACTCGAAAAGTCATTCATATTCACAGCAGCCTTATTCACAGTGGCCAAAAAGTGAAAGCAATCTATTGATGGGTGAATGGATACACAAAATGATGTATCATATATGTATGTATAATGATGTACGTGTGCTATTATTCAGCCTTAAAAGGAGAGAAATTCTGACACATGGTGCAGCATGGATGAACCCTAGACATGTTAAGAGAGCCAGACAGAAAAGGACAAATATTGTATGATTCCACTTACATGAGGTACCTCGTCAAATTTCTACAGATAGAAAGTATATTGCTGGTCATTAGGCACTGGAGGGCGGGGCAGTGGGGGGTTATTGCTTAATCAATACACAGTTTCAGTGTGGGAAGATGACAAAGTTCTGGAGATGGGCCGTCACAATGATTGCACAACAGTGTGAATGTTAATCAGTATTTAATACCACTGGGCTACCAAAACGTGGTTAAAATCGTAACATTTATAGTATCTGTATTTTACCACAAATTGAAAAAAGTAAAGAAAAGAATTTACCCAAGTCCTAATTCCTCAGTTAGCTGCCCAAGCATCACCTCTTTTCCCTCGGGGAGGTTTATTCTCGCGGTCCTCTGCCCTCTCCTCCAGAACAGCATCCAGGACAAATGCAGTCTTGGTGGTTTCGCACAAGGCACGAACCTGATCCAGAATACCCACTGTGCCCTTCTTGCTGTGTACAAACCTCATCGATTCTTTAAGCGTAAGTACTCCATTCCATTCCCCACTCACGAAGCCTTTGCTGACCAATCTGGACTTCTAGCCACTTCTCCCTTTCCTCATCTCTCACTGGACAACGAACATTGTGAATAGTGCGCATCACCAGTTACAGAGGACACTGTCTTAGACTTCCCTGGGGTTGTCACATGCCACATCAGTATAGTAGATAATGTCGGTCCTAATGACGAATGAGGCTGTGTATATGAAAACAAAGGTGTATAGACCAACCAAGGTTTTG